CATTCTGCTTAACAGAGATTACGTAACTTTTGTGGAGTGAGTTTCACCCCATAATTTCCCTTAAAACCCATCTTAAAATTTTTCAATTTACACTCCAAGGGGTTCAAGGAACTCTGTTTCCTTTGTGTGACTCTCATGTTCCACCCCACGTCAGTGTGGTACACTTAGGACAAGGCTCGCTTCCCCTTCGCGAGGACTTAGGGCCCTCTTAGCCTTGCGGGTCGGCATCAACCCCCAGCCTGGAGCTTTCACCTAGACGTTGGTTGGTGAAATTCCACCATAGACCATATGAGGTGCCATAGAACCGCGGATCACAACTACGCACTCGCTTTGGCCCTCTGGTTGGGTCGGAACCCTTCCCTTTGTCTGTCTCAGTCACACACTTTCACACAGACATGGCCAGAACAAAATTTCTATACCGCCCAAATTCCAACAATTCCAAACCAAATAAAAAGGGCGTCACCGTTTCCCCTCTGTTCGCTGACCCTGAACAGAGACTACTCAGGCGACTCCCCAGGTCTGTTTCAGCTCCAGCCACTTTGGAGGGTACTCAGGACCCAACTGAGGTTGATCAAGCCTCTCTTCCACCTGCTTAGGCCTCGAAGGGGAAGTCAGGTGGGCTGCCAAAACAAAAGGACCTGGATCCTACTTGTTCATTTGGGTGGTGCTCCAAAACCCTAATTCTGGTTCCTGCTCCCTGTGGGTTCCATTGTACTCGGGAATGGCAGCCCCAGGGTGCCCAGTGAATTGATCCTCCTTCAGGCCAAGAGTGACCTGTGCATGCCAAGGGGAACACTGTCCCCCCATCGCCCCAGGGAAGCTAGTCCCCGGAGACAAGAGAGGCAGAATAGCCTTCCTTACCTCCTCTGTTCCATCTGGGTCACCAAAATGTTGTAGGGACAGATGAGGCAAGGCACCAAAGACAGGAGGAAACAGTTTTATTTAGCTGCAGCTAGATTCAGAGGGCACAGCTTTTGCTGTAATCAATTAACCCCCCTGAACCCCAAGTTCAGGTAGTTTCAGAGTTTTATGTAAAGGGAGGGGTGCAGAAATTCACAGTCTGCAGAAGTTTACATAAAAACAGCTCTTTCTTTCACCGCTTTTGGGCAAGTTAACCCTTCAAGGACAACACCTGAGAAGGCGGGAGCTTCTTCTCTCCTTTCTTTCCTCCCCCTGCCAGCTGTTACCATGGAGCCCAATTGGTAAACTTCTCTTATCTTAGGAATGTACACATCTCTGTGAAGCCCAGTTCAAGGCCAGAGGCCTTGTTTGTACATTACTACAAACACTGTACTGGATACTATGTGAAAAACTAGTAAGGGGGTGTCCAGCACCTGGAGTGCTGATATCGTCCTGGCCAGTGGCCAAGTAAAACAGGGCGACACGAAAATAGGAAGTTTATGTACATTGAACTCTTTTGCAGACACTCTTTTGCTGACAGTCCCCAAATCAGCCATGGTGAGGATTTCTGGAGAAGCCCAGTTAAGACTCTTCTGTGGGGAAAGGGGGCGCCACTACACTTTCTGAAATTTTAGGCCTTCCTTATAAATATTTAATTAAAAATGACTGGTAAGGCAATGTGGAAAGCCATGAAGATTTTCAAGCACATACTGAAGAATGATAGTAAAGGTATTAGCCAGTGAGAAGTTGAAAATATCATTCAGACTTCCCATTTCAGCTCCAACACATGAAGAAGTGGGAAATAGTATTCCTATCCTTATAGATGTCCCGGTCAAAATCAAAGAAATCTGAAGAATTGTCACAGCTTAGAGGAACAGGAGACATCACTTCTAAAAGTACTGTGGAATATAGCATGAAATGGTATTTCTCCACATCAGCGCATTTCTTTAGCTTTAATTTACAGCTATGTCAAGACAGGATTTCAGAGGTCTCAGTTTATAGATGGTTGACACCATTGCTCTGGGTCCAACGTGAGACAGAATATCATGACAGAAGGTCAAGGCAGAGGAAAACAGCTCAGGACACAGCAACAGGAAGAAGATATCAGCAGATTTTTCTTTGTTTCCACAAATTTCTACCTTGAACTTTGGTGCTATTCTACTTTTTTGAATTGTTATTTTGTTTTGTATCATTCTTAAATGTTGGATACAGAGAACATTTTTTTTCTCAATTCAAATTTGGCAGCATCTTGTAAATGGTGATAATTGTTTCCTTTTTCTAAAAGTTTAAATCAAATAAAAATTTAAAACTCATGCACAAAAACAAGAAATCATCCACATTTCTTGTGTACCATGTAATGTTTCAATTGTGTTCAACATATTTATCTCCTTAAATACATATTGTTTCTTTGTAGTGAAATAATTAAAAATCCTTACTTCTGGAGTTTGGAAATATGCAGCACATTATCGTTATCTGTAGAAAATCCTACTGTGCAATGGCACACCCAACTTTCCTGCTTCCATCTAATTGCAACTTAGTACTCATTGATTAAGTTTGACTCCTTTCTCTTCTCTTCTCCTCTCCCTGCCCCTAGTGACCACCATTTTCCTCTCAAAACCTATGAGATCAACATTTGAGATTTCGCAAATGAGTGAGTTCATGAAGCATTTGTCTTTCTGTATGTGGCTTATTTGACTGAATGAAGTGATCTCCAGTGCCATCCATGTTTTGACAAATGACAGGATCACAATTTTTATGGTGAATAGTATTCCTTGGTATATATGTACCACATTTTCATTATTCATTCATCAATAGATAGCCTCTCTACCTATTTGGTTAAATAAGGATAACACAGTCTATTGTCATCTACTCCTTCTCCCCTCCGGGGCTCCAATGTTGGACCTGTTACAGTGGGGACATCATCTTTGACTCTATAAAATAGATTAATTTTTACAACAGATATAACAGGACTTTAAGGGCCCTAATTATGAGTATAATGACAAATGCAAACATCAGGAAAGGCTGAAAACTGGTTCAGACCCTCAGGAACGTGTCTCTCAGAACAATAGCTGAGAGAGAGAGAGAGCTATTGGCCTGTTTCCTCTGGATGCTCAACACTGTCTATAGTGCCTCCATAATTAGGGGTAAACACAGTATAGAAGAATCAGAGTTTCTCATTTTAATAGGGAAATTACACGAAGAAAAGGAATTTTAAATAATGCATTGATAAGAGCAACTAATCCAACCAGCCTAAGTCTGAGTCAAGCCTCACTACATGATTGCTCACATTTTGAGCATCATAGTAGATAAAAAAGACTATGAGGGAAGGGACATTGAGTGGTGCATCGGTAAGGGGCTAATCTGAATGGCTCAAAAGTCCTAGATAGGTCTCAAGAGGTGATCCCAGAAGCTTTGAGGTCCACAGGGGATTGAGCGACACTTCAACCTGGTGGAGGAACAATGAAGGAATGCCATGTGGAATGTCTTCTTCCTCCTTGTCTTTCAGAGGGGGGAAACTCCATCTGATACAAGTAGTACTTATACACTGGGATTCTTTTGACCCTCAGACCCAGGGGAAGAAATGCCTAGTGCCTTTCTGTACTCAAGCCTGACCCAAATACCAGCAGGAGGATGGGGAGAGAGGGCTCCTGAGGGAAACAGGAACAATAACACCATCTTGCGATTGGAGTTGCATGACCAATTGCCCAAACCAGTTTGAAACCAGAGGTGGGAAAAAGATGTCACTTTTAAATCCAAATTGAGGGGCTGGGGATGTGGCTCAAGCGGTAGCGTGCTCGCCTGGCATGGGTGCGCCCCGGGTTCAATTCTCAGCACCACATACAAACAAAGATGTTGTGTCTGCCGAAAACTAAAATGTAAATAAAATATTTAAAAATAAATAAATAAATAAATAAATAAATCCAAATTGATGGAGGACTTTTCTTGAACTCTGGGATTCTACTCTTTCAGGAAGTTCCTTCCTAAATACTACAGAAAGGGGGAGACCAAGGGGAAGGAGATCTGGGAAGGCCAGTTGCTCCAGGTCTAGGCCTTTTGAGAATGCTTAAAATGTCTACCTTTGGCTTTGAAAATAATGTAGCAGGTGTTACCCCAAATTTAAGGGACTCAGCTTCAGGAAACTCACATGATTGGCTCAGGAATGTCTGAAAACATCCGAATTCCTACAGGGTTTTATCTTCAGGCACAAGAGATTAAAAAAAAAAAAAAAATCCTGGGCTGGCGTTGTAGCTTAGTGGTAGGGTGCTTGCCTAGTACGCACGAAGCACTAAGTTCAATCCCAGCCCCACATAAAAATGAACAAATAAAATAAAGGTATTGTGTCCACCTACAGTTAAAAATAAAATAAAATAAATCCTGTTGGAGGAAAAAATAAAAGGATATGATGCTATATGTACAAGTGTACAAGTTTATTTTTCTTTAAAAACATTTTCCTGAGAACTTCATGGGTCCCCACATTCTTTTTTTTTTAAACTTTTTTATTAGTTGTTGATGGGCCTTTATTTTTTTATTACTTATTTATATGTGGTGCTGAGAATTGAGCCCAGTGCCTCACACATGCTAGGCAAATGCTCTACCACTGAGCTATAACCCCAGCACCCCCAACATTCTTTAAATATCTGGTTGACTACTTTGATCCAAAAGTACACTCTGGTCTGACAAAGATGTTCCACATGAAGGAGCTGGGGACAGTGGTGCACACCTGTAATCCCAGAATGTGATAGTCTGAGGCAGGAGGATTGCATTTCGAAGCCATCCTCAGCAAACTAGCAATGCCCTAAGTAATTTAGTGCGATCCTGTCTTGAAATAAAGAAATTAAAAGGGCTGGTAATGTGGCTTAGTGGTTGAGTATACCTAGGTTCAATACCTGGTATAAAAAAATAAACAATCAATAAACCCAACATGTTCCATATGGTCCTTTTCTAGATTAATTATGGCCATTACATTTTTTGGAGAATCATCTGTCTTTTTTTAGCTCAGTTTTTCTGGTGAATTCACCTTTAATTCTGTGAGATATATATATATATATATATATATATATATATATATATATATATTGATAAGTCTTGTGTCTTGTGTTGTCTAACTGAAGGTGTTTTTTTTTCTCCCTGTTTTAGTCAGATTTTTCACTGCTGTGACTAAAAAAATCTGACCAGAACAATTTTAGGAGGAAAAGTTTATTTGAGGACTCATGGTTTCAGAGGTCTTAGTCCATAAAAGGCCAGCTCCATTCCTCAGGGCTCCAGGTGAGCAGAACATCATGGTGGAAGAGTGTGTCAGTGGGATTCAGCTCACATGGTGATCAGGAAGCAGAGAGAGAGGTCTCCATTTGCCAGATACAAATATGAAACCCAAAGCCACGCCCCCAATTCCCACCTCCTCCAGCCACACCCCACCACTTCACTTACTACTCAGTTAATCTCTATCAGGGGATTAATTCATTCATTGTGTTAAGACTCTCACAACCCAATCATTTCTCCTCTGAACCTTCTCTCATTGTCTTACATGTGAGCTTTTGGGGGACACCACATGTAAACCATAACATTCCATCCTGGCCCCCAAAATCCCACACTCATCTGACAATGCATAATACAGTTAGTTCATTCCCAAGAGTCCCCAATAGTCTCAATAGTTCTGAGATTGCTCAAAGTTCAAGTCCTAAGTCTTCTCTGAGGCTCAAGGCAATCTTGCATGGTGAGCTCCTATAAAATTAAAAGCAATTTACAAGTATCCAGTATATAAAGGTACAGAGTAAACATTTCCATTCACAAATAAGGGATGTAGAAAGAAGAGATAGGACCAAAGCAAGACTGAAATCCATCTGTGCAAACAAGTGCTATAGCTCCATGTCTGGCATCTGGGGTACATGGCATCTTGATGTTTTTTCCAAAGGGCTTGTGTAGCTCCATATCTGTGGCCTTGGTTGAAGGATATGGAAATGACAGCCTGCAATGACAACTCCCCAAGACAGTGTGTGGCCTGGGAGGAGAGTGGGAGGGAGAAGCCAAAACATTGATCCTTCCCCTGAGAAGGAGATAACCATCAGTTGCTGGGAAGAGGACAAGTATTGATCCTTTCCAAAGTAAATTTTAATAACAGTGAAATGATACCTTAATCCTATCTCTGTGACAATACAATGCACTCTGGAGGACAAGATTAAAAATTGAACACTGAGCTCTGAACCCTCCACCTTGCACTGTAAAAACCCAGCCTAGTAAAAACAGTATCCAGTAAAAAACAAGTTCCAAATGTTTGCAACCTTTTACTCACGGCCTGTTAAAGTCTTCAAGGGCTGAGTCACTTCCCAATGTAAACTATATAAACCCATAGACTTTCTGTAACTGGGGGCCATTTTCTACCCAGAAAATGAGCCCCTCTGATGGCTGACTCTGGTGCTAAATAAAAGGCATAGCTGGTCCATGAAGTCTGCTCCTGTCCTGGTTATTTGTGCTTTCATTATGGTGCCAAAACCATTTTGATTATTTTTGTTTACATTGTTGGTTGCATCCCAAGCAGCCTTTCTGTTGACTTGCCTCTACTCAATACCTGCAGCTTTCCTAGGATGATGTCCCACATTACTGTCATTTCTTACTCTTGGGGGTCTCCACTGCAACTTTGACTTCCTCCTCACATCTCCACACTTTGCCCTCTCAGGGGGAGCCCACAGGTATTACAACCCTGTTGCACTTTGCCTGGCCTCCCAGACCTTCCTTTGAAATCTTGGTGGAAGCCTCTATGAACCCCTAACTCCAGCATCCTGCAGTCTGCAGAACCAGTCCATGTGGTTGAAGCCAAGGTCTGCCACCATCTTGAGCAGGATAGATATAGTACAATGCTAATTTCTAATACTTATATTGATGCTAATTAAACAAAAGGGGTAACTGTAAAATTACAGACATTAAGGTTAAGACCCATTACTCCCACTTAAAGACTGACGAGACTGGCCTCCTGGATGTTTTAAAACCAAAATTTGAAACCCAAATGCAAGAAAGTTTAAAAGACTCAGGAAAAAATGGCCAATATTTTGGTCCTTGCCTCTTAGGTTAGCCAAAACACATGGAAAAATGGGTCCCCACTAAGGGCTTTGCCATGCCAGTGAGTCACCTGATCTCCTGATTGGGGGATTGATAGGATACTAGAGGACAGGAAGCCAACCAGTGCACATTGTGAAAAGGGAAGGGTCCTTGAAGAGGGAAATGTCCCTGATGCTTCCAAAGAAACCACAGGTGGTCAGGTCAGCAAGACTCTCACCTATCCTGGCAGATGGTATGACTGATAAAGGAAGGGAGACAAGAGGCTGCTCACAAGGTCCCAAGAGTGACCCTTGACAAATGTCAGCTGATTATTAACAGTAGATAGGAACAGGTCATTTTTTTTTTTTTTTTACCAACTTGGTGCTGAACACCTGGCAGGAGAGTACAACCAAAACACAGTCATATGTGGACATATATAAGAAGAGACAATGATATATATATATAAAATTTGAGATGCACACTTGTGTCCATTCTCTCAAAAGTAAATAAAGGGAGAGTTCTTATACAGGAGTGCCTGATAACTATCCCAAAAGGCTCCGCCAGAGTCCACAGTTTGTTCCAAGTCAATTTGAGACCTATACATCTTCCTAACCTCCTATAAATATATAGCTAAGCTTGATCATTTTTCACTGGTACGATTATTTAGCCCCAATATTTATACTTCTAAAAGATATGTGACACATGTAAGCCCTAAATAACTTTTATGTGAGAGTTCTGCATGATATAGCTAAAGGGGATCCTTCTGCCAAATGGAGGTAACACTAATGAAAAAGCTGAGAACTCAGATGGCATTAGCTACCTTAACTACAGCTCAAGAAGATGCCTAAGCCATTATAAAAACTTAAAGTCCTGTATATGTTTCTAACAATTCTGAATGGTCTGCCACTCACAAATCAGTGGCATGTTAGACCCCACTCTCAAGTTTAATGAGTCTCTGTCTTTGCAGTTTTCAGGGAATGGCTGATAGTACTGATTGCTTTTCTGCTGATTGTTTACAAAAAAATCATGCTTTGCTGTCTTGTATATTATTTGTCTTATCATGATCCCTGCCCTATGTAGGCCTTATCCAACTGCCACCAGAGACCTCTGGACTGCCCTGATGTGTGAGGTGCCCAAGCTATAAATGACCTTATAGATAAAATCCAAAAACAAGCTCCCCTTCTACTGAGCATTCATATATAGGCCTCTGTAGCAGGACCTGACTGCTGTTCTACTTTGAACATCCCTTTTCAGTCTAAAGTACCAGAATGGTCATTGCCCTTTTTTCCTAAGGGCAGCTAGGGCGGGGAATGCATAAGATAGGATAATGTGTCCTGATTGAAGGATTTTTTTTTTTAATGTAAAGTCTACTCTATGAGGTTAACCTGTAGAAACACTCTAAACATTCCAGCCAACTCATTTGTCCCAGGATGATGGAAATAGGGAGGCAGGACAGGACAGACCTGAGTAAAAGCAACAGACTCAAGGGCAACCAAGAGAATTCATATTTTCCCAATACCAGTGCACCATGATTTTTTTTTTTATAATTGCTCCTACCAATTTAAAAAACAAGCCAATCTGTCTTTTCTGTCAACCCAAAGAAGCTCTGTTCTAAATCCCCTCGCTTCCTGAAGGCCATCTTCTTACAATAACTGTCTATAAAACATCTTCACTCCCCTCCCTGTGCACATGCCCAGAGGCACTCGCCCCAGGGGAAATTTCCCATCACAAGGGAACAAAGGGAGGTGGGGACAACTAAAAGGCATTTCTTTAAATAACCCAATAGGAAATAGTACAGTGGGCCCTACCAATGAGTAATGATTAAGTACCCTCTTTCCTCAATAGCTATTCATGCCAAAGATTGTGAGGTCAGCTCCAGCAGTGGGCAACAACCCAGTGCCTGTGTCAGTGATAAATGCTGAACAGATTGCCTGCTCAGTGTGACTGCTTTTGGCTTTGGTGGCTGTGCACCCCTTCTGCCCATGGAAGTAAAATTCTTACCCTATCCACAGAGCTGATTAGTCTCTGAGTGTTTATTCTGACCCCCCAAATTGCCATATAAACCCCTGGGCTAATATATCTAAGTGGAAAAACTGTTGTCAGGCCCCCTGTCACCTTGCCAGAGATCTGTCTCTTCTATTTAAATGAATCCTATTTCTTTCACTCTTGCCCTCTGTTGTTGCCCACGGATTCATTCTTTGAAGTTGGAAGATAAGAACACAGAAAGAAATTGGTGGTGAGCTTCCTGGGTCTGCCATTAAGAGCTGGAGCATCCCCCTCCATAGTAGTGGAGAATCTGGCTTTGCCTGCTGAGACCCTTGGAGCTAAGGCCAGCAGGCATACCTTGCTGTGATTAGCTGCTAAGGCTAAAATGGGGTTTCTTGGCTGGGGTAGCTTGCAACTTACGCAGACCCCACCCATCAGCAAAAGCAGAGAATTAAGTTTTGTCTCAAACTCTATATTTACCATGTTATCCCTTGGTATGCTCCTCCTAGCCCCTGGGACCCACCTTGCAGAGCCTGCTGGACTCTTTCTTCTTCTCCTTCTGCAGAGAGGTCCTACTCCGAAGGGTTCCTGTGCTCTGGCTCCGTCTTCCCGGCTCAGAGTCTTTGTCCTGGGCAGCAAGGCCTCCTTGTATGTTCAACCTCTCTTCCTCTCCACTCAGTGTTTTTTTTTTCATTATACAAAATACCTGTATGAAGATGTGAATTTGGTGTCAACATACCTTATATACAAACAGAGATATGATAAATTGTGGAATAAAGGTGTATTAAGAATTGTAATGCAAAAAAAAAAAAAAGAGAGCTCATGTATAATGGCATAATTTGGCATGAACATACTTTATATACAGAGTTACGAAAAATTGTGCTGTGAGTGGATAATTATGAATGTAAAGCATTCCACTATTGTCATGTATGTAAGAAATAAATAAAAAATAAAAACACTACATAAGTCTCATATTTCCAAAATCTCTCCCTTGTAGCTCCCACCTGACTTCCAGTTCTTAATAGTCAAACTGTAGTCAAGTTTATAGACAGTCTTAGTCATGGGGTATCTGTGTTAGCATATGCACAAGTGTATTTTCAAAAAGGAAGGGATCATAGGGCTGGGGCTGTGGCTCAGTGGTTGAGCACTTGCCTCACGTGCGTGAGGCACTGGGTTCGATCCTCGGCACCACATACAAAAAATAAATAAATAAAACAAAGATACTGTATTCATCTACAACTAAAAAAAAAAATAATAATAATAAAAAAGGAAGGGACCAGATAGATGAACACCAACATACAATATCCATCCTATGCCTTTCAGAATTATGATTCTATTTAATGTTAGCATATAAAAATGATTTTTTCCTGTAATTTCTGTAGAATTTTATCTGAAGATAAAATTTTAGCTCAAGATGTAAAAAACTGAGAATGACAAATCTTTAAAGTGACATGAGAACAATAGCAGATCCCAGGGGAGGTATTTTGCACGCACGTGTTTGTTTGTGTGCACGTGTGCCTGGTGAGACGGTCTTGCTCTGGACAAACCTGTAGGGCAATTCACATGGAGGCCTAAGGCTGTAACCTAAGTCTGAACAAGGTCCAGGAATCTGAGCTGTGTGCATGAACCCTATCTGAACCCTATCTGAACTTGGAGGCAGCATTTGCAACAGGGAATGCATTCTGCAAGCCCAAGTGGTGTGGCCTCAGAGCTCCCCATATTCATAGTGACTTGCAGAATATGTGACTTCTCTGACTTGATAGGGATGAGGTGACCTCTGCCTGTGCTGCTCCACCCCCACCCATATCTTGTCCCAGTGGTGGGAAACCTTTATGGACATGCTGGGTTCACACCCTGCAGTCCCAACAAAGTCTTAGCTAATTTCCAAACTTTACTTCCTGCAGAGCAACAATCTTGCCCTTTAACATGTAAACCCATTTCATTTTATTTTCATATTTCCATCATGTCTTTTAAGATCCTTTATACAGGTACAATCAACAACGATACAATTTATCTCACCTCTCTTTGTTTTGAAATGGTCCCCTGCTTCTCAGGAAAAAAGTTGGCAATATATTTGGGTAGGATGTTATCCTGATGAGGGATGCAGGATGCAGATCCCAGAGTGGCCTCAAAAGCCATTTGAGTCACCCTCTGATACCAAGAGTACACATGGGTCAGGAGTCAGGGTCAGGCTAAAATACAGGGACCTGGACAGTTGAGGATTGGCCCTGGCCCAGCTCGGTCCTTTTTGATGTCCTCTAGGGTCCTCCCTGAACCTCCTCCTGTCTCCCTTCTAACAGGGGAGGTGCCAATGGCAGCATGAGCCGTCTGAACCCCAGGGAACTGGGCTGAGCGATGGGAGGATGTTGGGAAGAGAGAAAACCCTTGCTCCTGTCACCATATGTCTGGTCTCCAAGTGCACTGCCAGCTCCTGGTGGACCCCGTGGGGGTTTATTGGGGGGTGGAAAGCTGCTGGAAGACAGAGCCTTGCCTTCGGCTTCAGGGCCCACAGATTTTCTCCTTGCCCTATGGGGCTGAGGCTGGATAGGATCTTAATCCTGTCTCCCCTTAGGGACGCATGGTCCTAGGCTTCAGGTTTCCGGGAAGTCTCTCAGGGGAGGGCGGTGCATAAGAGGGGCAGGGCGGGACTGACCACCCGGTCCCGCCCCTGCTTTCTCTGTTCGCTGTGATAAAGCCCCGGCGCAGTCCCACCGAGGAGAGTCGGCTCTGTTCGCGAGCGCCAGCACCATGCCTATGATACTGGGTTACTGGAACATCCGCGGGGTGAGCGAGGGTTTTTCCTGGCGGCTGGAAGGGGAGGCGAGGCGGGGACCAGTGGAGCAGATGGGGTGCAGTTGCACGGGGTGGATCCAGTTCTGGATTTGCTGGATTAGCCGGCAGGGAGTCTCAGCGCTCAGCTCTCAAACTTCTGAGAACGTGTACGTGTTTACGCATTAGCTTGCTTGCACGTGAGTGTGCGTGCTTGGGAATTGGTGGTCACAGGGGCGGGGGGTGGTCACCCGGAGGAGATGAAGTCATACAGCAGGGGTCTCTAAATCTCTGACCTGCACCTTGGGCTCTCTCTCCCAGCTGGCTCACCCCATCCGCCTGCTCCTGGAATACACAGACTCAAGCTATGAGGAGAAGAAATACACCATGGGGGACGGTAATGGCACCCCTCGGGTTCAGGTCCCTTCCGGGCTTCTGTTGATTGGTGCCCAGCAACTCGAGCTCGGCTATTCTGACTACACAGAACTGGTGTTGAGTTCTCCGGAACTCCTCCTGCTGGACTCTTTCCCAAAACGACTGGGGAGGGTGCAACGTGATCTTGTAACACAGGATTTGGGGAGTGGAGTTTCTGGTTATCCCTCTGTTTATGTTTGGTTTGGGTTCCCTATTAAGGCTTGCCAAAACCATGTGAAAGCCTTAGTCATGTAGGTCCAGGACCCCTACTTCAGATTTCTCCTCCACCCTCCTCCTCCCAAACCTTGGGATCTAAGATAGTGGCTCAGATTCCAGATCCACCATCTCCAGGGTCTTGTCCCTGACCCGTTGGGAGCATCCTGGGAAAGGGAGGTTGGACTCAGGAGAGGTTTGTTTTCACATCATCTTTTCTTCACAGCTCCCGACTATGACAGAAGCCAGTGGCTGAATGAGAAATTCAAGCTGGGCCTGGACTTTCCCAATGTAGGTGTGGGGGACGGGATGGTTGGGGCAAGTGATTGAATCCCTTCCTTATCTACATGCCCTGCTTAGAGTTTCTGGGCTCAGTGCATCTGCTACTCTCATTCCTGGCTCCATACTGTGTTTCTGGGATGATCTGTGTCCCAGGTCATTCATTCATTGAACAGTGTATTTACATAGGGATTCCTAAGGACAGTTACAGTGAGTGCCAAATATCTTATATCCCTAAATTAGGGAGAGGGGACTGAGACCTGGTGTCTCTCTTGATTTTCCTTGATTGTCCATCCAGCTGCCCTACTTGATCGATGGGCCTCACAAGATCACCCAGAGCAACGCCATCCTGCGCTACCTTGCCCGCAAGCACAACCTGTGTGAGTGGGGCTGGCTGCAGGGTGTGGGGGATGGTTGCTGTGTCCCTGACTTGGCTGGGGTGGGAGGCTGAGGGTGCACCTCTGTTGCATGGACTACAGGTGGGGAGACAGAAGAGGAGAAGATTCGTGTGGACATTTTGGAGAACCAGATTATGGACGTCCGCATGCATTTCATCATGCTCTGCTACAACCCTGACTTTGTGAGTCTCCCACTGTGTGGACCAGACATGGTTAGAGAGTTGAAGTTTTCCATTTGCATCTTCAGTGGACCGATATGCTATTTGCATTAAGTAGTAGTAGGGATTCTCCATGCTTTCCTGTTCTACCAACAGAGTGACATTCATAAAACAGCATCTTGACAAACAGACTTGAAACAATCCCCACCATTCTTAAGATAGGGTTCAGACTCCCCAGCTTAAACAGTCTCTTCATAGACATTCATGTGTACTTTAAAACCCCTTGCATTCCTGTCCCTGACCTCTTCCATGGCCCTTCACATCATTTGCCTCCTGCTGGAGCACAGAGACTCAACCCATGACAAAGGGAAGTACAGGTTAGGGGAGTGGAATGTGGCCTGGTCTTCAGATGTCTGCACAGTGGCGTCCCTGACTCCAGCATGAATGAGGACTTTTCCTAAGGGGCAGCTCAGAGTCCTCCAGAAAAGCTCTGTCCTTTCCCTTCCTCCTTTCAATATCAAACACATCTCAGCTTTATGCACACTATTCAAATGTCTATTCGGAACTTCTGCCACCCCACTAGGTAGAACGTTGTCTATTTTCCTGGGTACCTGCCAGATACTGAGACACTCCTGAGTCTGACTCCCAGGAGGTGGTTTGGACCCATGAATGATGAGAGACAGTTTCAGGGATCATGTTGTGTTCCTGTCTGACTTCGCAACACTTTGAGAGATGGGAGATGCTACCAGATAGGAGTCTAAGCAGTGGTGTTGCAGGGAATGAAAACCTCACCCTGACACAGGCTGAGGGAAGTTGGCGGCCGAGCCCTGGCAGGTGGGCCATGCACACCACTGCTGATGCCAGCCCCTCAGGCAGGGAGCTCCTGTCAGAGGGTGGTGACAGCTGATTTCTGCCTCAGGAGAAAAAGAAGCCTGAGTACTTGGAGGCCATGCCTGAGATGATAAAGCTGTTCTCACAGTTCCTGGGGAAGCGGCCCTGGTTTGCAGGGGACAAGGTAAAAGGGGAGGAGTCTGGAGGTGTCACTCTTTCCAGGGTAGAGATTTTCATGCCCACTCATCCTCAGCTTTCTGCAGATCACCTACGTGGATTTCATCACTTATGATGTCCTGGACCAGCACCGTGTATTTGAACCCAAGTGCCTGGAGGCATTCCCAAACCTGAAGGACTTCATGTCCCGCTTTGAGGTGATGCTCCTGCTCTTTTTCACTCTTCAATGCCCTTTTTCCTTTCTGCTTTCCAGGAAGTATTTTTGAATCCCATCGGTTACAAAAAGAACAAGGAGTACATTTTGAATTCTGGATTTCTGTTAGGACCCGTGGCCACATGTTATCTCCACTGTGACAAATTTATTGACACAGCAACCTGCAAGGCTTTAGAGAGAATTACCAGGCACGTTGGACAGAGATGGAAACTGGGTCTGTAGAGAGGAAGTCATTTGTTCAAGGTCCCAGGGCCAGTGGACGCTGTGTTGGGCTCTCTGTCAGCCTTGGCTTCTAAGGCCCTGGTGGGTGTCTGTCCTGCCTTCTGTCAGAAGGAGCAACCTCAGGCCCTCATGCAGCCTGGGTTTCACAGCCCAGGATACTGTGCAGGAGGAGAACGAGGCAGGGTGTGTGCAGCTGGAGGTGGGAGGCTGAGGTGAGGCTGGGGGACTGGCAGAGCAAGGCCCAGACAGGCCTTGGCTTGGCTTGCAGCAGGCTTGGCTCCATCAGATGCCACCCAGGGAAGCACTAGGACCCCAGGGTGGTGACTGGTGCTTATGAGTACACATGTGGGGACCCTTGGGGACTTTATTATGGCTCTTTGGATGGTTGAGATCTTGTTTTCAGCCGTCATCCTCTCTCCTCATGAATATCTCAAGTGTTCTGTGTGTGAGCTGGGGTCGTACACTGATTTTCACTCCTATTCAGTGTCTCCTCCACACGAGCTTTGGTGTCAGGCCCAGTGGACATGTATGGAGGCCCCATCCTGGGACTGAGTGCAGCAGGGAACAGCAGGCACCTGTTGAGTTGCCAGTGGTGCCACATCGTTGCTGAGGAGGACAACCTGCATATCACCTCAGAAAAAAAAAAAAAAAGATTTCCCCAGGTCCACTTTTTGTCACCAACAAAACCTACTTTGGTGCTGATCTGAAGAGGGCCAGCGAGCTCCCTTCTCTTCCCAATCCTCATGTCACGATGCGCTTCCTCAGCTACTTCTCATCAGCTCTGGCCCTGGTGCCTGCTGAGTGGCCTTTGGGTTTATCCAAGAGCTGGCAGGACTGTGGGAAGGAAGCACTGGAGGGGGCGGGGACTGGAGAGCTTCTGCCTGAGACCTCCTGAGCCTGACTTGTTGGCTAGAGGCAGCCCTGCATCTCCTTGAACGTGATCTCCACAGTCACTCTCCTGATAGGAAGGCACGATATAACTAAGAGCGAGATGGCCTGGGTAGTGGAAGAGTTGGAAATGAGCTAGTTTGGGCTTAGTAGCTTGGGATCCGGTACCAGGTGGAGACATTTGGACTTTCTATTCTCAGGAAACAGATTAGATTGCTGCCCAGCAGTTCTTTGTGGCTCTTCCCTGTGTCTCTGATCATCCAAAAAATTCTCGTGAAATTATGTTGTGAGTCACTCGGTGAGGTCTTTACTCTCTTCCAACAGGCAACGGATTGTTCTCTGCTCCTTTGTCCTGGTAGATCCCGTCTCTGTGTGAAATACAGGCATGAATAATTCTTAATGCCTAAAGGACAATGTTTGTGCAAAGGGGAGTGACAGGGCCTCCTGTCAGGGCACAGGAAGGGAGTGGAGCAGAGAGTACAGAATTGGAAAGGCAAGAGCCAGGCTCTCTCCAGCCCCTCCCACTTTCTAGCTGTGTGAGCATGAGGAAGTTCCCTAAACCCTCTCCCTGCACCTCAGGTTCCCTCCTGATAGATGGTGAGACATGATCAACCTTGCTGGGGTTGTTGAGTGGGTTTTCTAAGCTGCTTGCAATTTCTAGTGCATATAATGCATTTTGCATACTCTCTTCAGTCACTGCAAACTGAAGAATGTCCCTGAAGGGTGTCCTTCCAGACCCCAGAAACTGGGGTGACTGTGCGCTGCTCAGCACTGGAGCTCTCCTGGCAGGGCTGCTCCTGCACTGGGGCTGCTCCAGCCCAGTGGGACAGCAGCCCTGAGCTCCTGCTTCCTCTTGCCACTCACAGGGCCTGAAGAAGATCTCTGCCTACATGAAGTCCAGCCGCTTCCTCCCAACACCTATGTATTCCAAGATGGCCACATGGGGCAACAAGTAAGAGGCTGTTAACACCCAGACTGAGAGGAAGAAGCCATCCTTGCCCCTGCTGGCCCCGGGTTCCTCACACAGCTGGCTCTCTGCACCCAGGCACCAGTCTTCTCAGTCCTTGCTCCTCTTTCCACTCCCTCCTCCTCTGCAAGGCCTCCTTGGCTCCCTTTCTTCCATTCAATCCCTCCTCCTTTGGAACTTCTGCCTGCTTCATTTCTCAGTTTTCTTCAGCACTGTCCCTTCCCTCTTGCTTCTCTGTGCCCTAAATTCAACCATGAATCCTTGGCTCTGATTTGCAGAGCTGACTTCACCCCTGCTCCTGAGAACTGTCTGAAAATCCAGTATTCCCTTGTGTGCAGCTCAGACCCCAGAGCGGCAGCTGCCCAGGCCTGGTTTGAACTCAATAAAGCCTGAAACACACCTGCTGGCATTTTGTTTCATTCCAAGTTTTCCTCTCTGGATTTGCCAAGTGTCACTGCCATTCCCATGGGATTTGATACTAGAAATGGCTGGAGGGTTCACAAGGATTCTGGCAGGATGGAGGGGGTTTGATAGTCCTGGTTTCTGTTTCTAATACCCTCAAAGCTGGTGGCCCCGGGAGGCTCTTTAGAGGATTTGAGGTGTGACTGTCCTCCTTGGATCTCAGTTCATTGTTCTATGTCCCTATAAAAGACCCCTCTTGCCTGGTGCTCACCTCTGTTTCCCTTTGAGCTCCCTGCCAAACAGCCTTGCCTGGTCCTCAGTGAAGACTCGACCCCACTTGCTCAGCATTTGTTTAATCGCCTTTGGCTCCCTGTACTCGCCACCTTTCCCTGCTACTCCTGAGGGACTGACTCATGTCCCTGGTATAGGATAGGTTACCAGGATGCTTGTGGGGTCTGAAGGGGTCTGAGACTTCCTGGTCCCATTTCTGACACCCTCAGAGCAGGCAGCCTAGGAGGGCGTCTAGACAATAAAGGACCCCTTTATGCATGCAATCTTGCTTCCTCCTGTGGTCATGGAATCCTTCCACAGGACAATAGGGCTGTGGCTCACAGTGAGCAGGGACCAGGGTAGCGGGTCCCCAGCAGGGAGACCAGGACCCTTCTTGCCGCTATGAAATGGTTGGTGCCCATCTCTTAAGTGTCCAGCATCCTGGCTCTACTCAATTTTCTAGATGCCTTCAAGGTGTCCTTCTGGGCTTCCTCCACACCTGGCACGGGGACCATCTTTCTTGGTTAGTCCCTCTTAGCCTACAAGCTTGGTATATTGATCTCTGTGCTCACTCTTTGTTACTTGTTACTGTCTGTGTTTCCTCCATGGGAAGAATCACTGTGGATGACTCTCCCTGTCAGTGAATCTCCCTGTGTTAAGCTCAGTTGACCATCTCAGCCTGTGACTCAGGCAATTCCTGGGAAACAGGTCAAGGCTGAGCTTGTGGCAGACCCAGCCTTTGTTTGCCTCAGGATAATGTAACGAGCTGTGATTGTGCTCTACTTCCATCACCTCACGTGGTGCTGGTTTCTTGATGTCCAAGGAACTGTACTGAGGGCTGCCCTGAGAGCTAGTAAAACGTTTTGTTTGGGGTGTCTGCCGCCATGTTTCCAGAAGAAATGGGCATCTTGAATCAATAGGTTGAGTAGAGAAGACACTTCTCACTATTGGAGGAGGCCATCACCAAACAGGGAAGACCCTGGATGGAAGAAATAGTGAGAGGACATGTGAATATGCCATCGTCATGCCTGTGACATCCCTCATCTGCTCTGGGCCATCTGTGCTCCTTGTTCTTTGGATTTTAGACTTGACCTGGGATGTACCCCAGCACCTGCCTCCAATCAGCCCTGCACTGAGGTCTGTAGCCTGGGACCGAATACACCACAGGCTTCCTGTCTTCTTCCACTGGTAGAGGGGAGATCATGGGATCCATACACCTCCATGACTGCATGAGCCAATTCCCATAATAAATAAGGCATGCATGCATACCACATAAAACAATATGTCTATACCTTTTATTGATTCTGTTTCTCAAATAACTGTGAGTCGTACACACAACAAACAAATACACACATTGGTCACAAACATCAGTGACCAGTTTGGTATAGTCACACATTGTCCCAAATACTAGAGCATGCTCATTTATTTGGGGGCTTTTCCTATTTGTCATGAACTCGCAGAGGTGTCTGAAAGCTCAGCACTCAGGGGGCTTGGAGGGAAGATATCTCCTTTTGGAGGTAAGGTACTTATCTTTCTCCTGGTAATGCTACAGACAGCTGGGTTCTTGTCTCAAACACCAACCCGAAAGTGAGGACAAGGTTTTGAGAGAAAGGAAAAATTGATTTCCTTGCTTTGCTGGCCCAGGAGAAACTCCAGGGACCCTTGTTCCAGGTGCATCAGGGGAACAGAGGACTTTAAAGGTGATCCAAAGGCTACCTTCCAGGGGTGCCCCATCAGGGGCCGTGATTCAGCTGAAAGATGGCTGTTTCTTAGTTCTTGTGGTGCCACTCCTCTATGATGGACATACTTCATCCTTGTGGTGTGTGTGTGTTACAGACAAGTAACTTGGCCTAGGTGTGGAAGAAGGGTAATATGGCTTCTCAAGGTTAGGAAGGGGGAGAAGGAGATAAGAAAGGAAAAAAACCCAGAAAGTCCACATCAGGGTCACGTTCATAGCACAAAGTGGCCCGTTACAATAAATGTTCCCATTCATCACCGGAATTTCAAGGGCATTAAGAGGAAAATCATCTGTCTCTGGTCAGATGATTGCGTTGGGGACAAGAACCCAGGTCATTGTCGGTTCTTAAGGGAGGGTGAACATGGGAAAGGACCTGCTGGCTAGGTGACTGCAAACCTGGATTTCTATGGCTGTGAATGTCATGAGAAGCTTATATATTCAAGATTTAGTGTCCCCTGCTCTGATATTAATTTCAGGGAGGGTCTCAATTATGCCATTGTAAGTTGGAAGTGACTGGCAGGAGCTTTCTGCACACTCTTCTCAGACATGGTGGACATGTCTTGAAAAGAGCTGAGTTCTTCCTGTCTGGCCCTGGGCCAGCAGCTCTGGAGGAATGACCACTGTGGAGCTGGGTTCAGGCTGCCTGGCTCTGGGACAGGGTGCTGGGTGATCACCAGACACCCCCTCTCTACCCTGAACCCTGGAAGTGCAGCTGCCCAGTCTCTCCAGCTGCTCTTGCCTGATGTGCAGCCTGAGGCCACAGGGCTGCCCCTGGGTCAGATTGTTCCTACTTCCTCCCTGCAGGCAGCACCCTGTAGCTGGTGTCCAAGGAGGGCCACTCAGGCCTCCTTCCTGCTCGCCAGCATTTCTAGGGCCCTGTTCCAGTTGTGGCTTTTGATCCAGGGTTTCTCGAGCTGGGCACAACTGCCAGTGTGGACCACATAATTCTTTGTCGTGGGCTCTGTGCTGTGCTGTGCATTGCAGGGTGTTAACTACACATCTGACCTTGAGAGGCTATTAGGGCTTCTTAGTTGGGACAATTGAAGAAATCTTTGAGCCTCCATGAATTCCGTGGGGGGATAGTCACCTCTTGTTACAGAGCAGTGATGTGGTGGATGGAGAATGCACTTTTAATAAAGAATTAAATAGAATTTTTTTAAAAAATTCAGTATTCTACTTTTGCAGGCAAGAGGAGCCTTTTCTCTTTTTTTAAATTGTACTGTGAATTGAGGCCAGAGGTGCTTCTGTACTGAGCCAAATCTTTCACTCTTTTTTTTTTTTTTCTTTTTTTGGGATACAGGCTCTAGGCTCTTGCTAAGTTGCTAAGGCCTTGCAAAGTTGCTGAGGCTGGCTTGAACTTTGGTCCTTCTGCAGGAGTCTCCTGAGTCACTGGGATTAAAGGCATGTGCCACCATTTCTGGCTAACATGAGCCTTTTTTGACATAACTTTTATTTCAATTAGTATGTGTGTCATGGATCCCCTGGTGAATTTTTTTTTTTTAAAGGCTTTACAAATTGGTTTTTTTTTTTTTAATTTTTTAATATTTATTTTTTAGTTATCGGCGGACACAACATCTTTGTTTGTATGTGGTGCTGAGGATCGAACCCGGGCCGCACGCATGCCAGGTGAGCGCGCTACCGCTTGAGCCACATTCCCAGCCCCCCCTGGTGAATTTTTTAAAACTTTAATTTTGATATAGTCTCAGACTTGAGAAAATTTGCAAAAGAACACAAAGAACTCTGTACCCCAGCTGTTCAATGTGTCCTCTCTCCCTCCTCCCCACCTTCTTCTTTCTGTGTGACCCTCCCCAGCATGCTGGGAGGGGCACAGGGCGCTCTTGACCACAACACCATGTTCTTTCTCTAAGATGCCAGTGCCTGATAGTGGACCCAGACCACTGAGGGACAGGGCTTTGCAACCACCCCAGGGCAGGTCTCTCATGCCATACAAGGGTAGAGTTTGTGACAATTCATGGATCACGTTTCCTTTTAGGAAGATTGCGCATTCATATTGGAGTTCCTGGATATTATGTGATTTTGCCTGCTTATTTTTCTTCCTTATGCACCATCATTTCATTGAGATCTTTTTGCTTTTAGCCCATACTTGGTTATGTTTGTGTTGGTTTTACTTATTTGTAATATTCATGAGTAGAAGAGAAAGCATGCTTCGCCAATTTTAGAAGTCATTTGTATTAATCTTTAAATATTTTCTTAGCCCTGATATTTACTAACTAGAAATTTTCTTTTTGTTTTTGTTAGAAGAATGCTCTATCAATGATTCTAATCGTTTTGAATGTCAAACTATTGATTTTCTAAGTATATTGACGAAGTTCAGTATTTTTCTCTTTGGTATTGTTTCTTGTTTTTATGTTAAATCATGTTTTAATTCCTTCTTAATATCTGAGTGTGTTTAAACTAATTATTGTTATCTTAGAAATGGAAATTCTCCTCAATTCTAATTTGGCAGCATCTTGAGAATGGTGATATTTATTTATATTTCTGAGATAAGAAAATATGATGTATTTTCTGTATTATGTAAGTTTACGTAGACATTAGAAAAAAGTCTTAAAAATTTTTTCATTAATAATGTCATAATTAATTTGTTTATAAGTTTATATTTTTAATACCAAGGATTGAGCCCTAAAGCCCTCAACCACTGAGACATATCCCTAGCCCTTTTTATTTTTTTAAATTTGAGAAGGGGTTTTGCTAAGTTGCTAGGGATTTGGTAAGTTGCTAGGGATTCGCCAAGTTGCTGAGGCTAGTGTTAAACTTGTGATACTTCTGCCTCAGCCTCCTAAGCTACTTGGACTAGAGGCATGCACAAACATGCCCAGCCTCATCCCATGTACTTTGATTATCCCACAGTGTTCCTCTAATCAATTAGAACTGTTCTACACTGTATAGTCAGAGCACGTGGACATATAGGGGACCAGGCAACATTGGGGTGAATTTCTGTAAGGTCATATCCACTAACAATCCTTGCTTC